TGTCTCGTCGCTCCGGCCGGGACACGGCATCACATATGGTAAGGGGCGTAACATTTCTGTCACACGTTTGAGGTATTCGGCCAATCACAACGCATTGGATAGCTGGCCAATCAGAGCACACCTCGCTTTTTCAGACCGATGAGCTTTGTAAAAATCTACGCGTTTCAGAAAGGCGGGGCATAGGGGAGAAACAATAATGTACAGTATGTGGAAAATAATGTGTTTTTTGAACCTTAAACCGCATAAACATATTTCATTACACCAAATACACCAAATAATGTTCTTTTTAGCAACATCATATGACCCCTTTAAAGTGCTCTGTGTATTTTTACTAACTACCACATTAGGTAAGCTAACATAACAAATGAAGTCAGCTTAGCATCATGCTAACGGCAGATTCTCTTAAAATCAGTTACGAGTCGTGTCTCCTGTGCCCTTTATGCAAGGAAAATTATTTACTGCATATATAGAGAGTTTCTATAGGAAATTATGTTCCATTATGCTGTCTATCTAGGCAGCGCACTAGCTTAAAACATGTATGATAAACTAACCACAAGAACTGCAAAGTTGGTGGTGTGGTTACATTCACAGTGCACTCCATTAGGATCGCATATTTTGACACAGCCCTCTGTTCTCCAGTCTCTGTGAGTGTAGTCCCAAAACACACATGCAAAGTCGTAAGATGCTGAGCCGGATGTATTCTAGAAACATAAAGACACAATCAATCAATCAATCAATCAATCAATCAATCAATCAATCAATCAATCAATCAATCAATCAATCAATCAATCAATCAATCAATCAATCAATCAATCAATCAATCAATCAATCAATCAATCAATCAATCAATCAATCAATCAATCAATCAATCAATAAATAAATAAATAAACGTAGGCATTTTTTTACCTTTATAGAGGGCATTTTCCCACTAATCTCATTAATACTTTAATTTCAAATTCTTACATTTTTGATCTATAAATTCAATTATAATAATGTGATTATCTATACGTTATCAAATTAAATCATGTACACTGAAAAATACAACAGCATTAAATAATATGAGATTATTTTAAATATTTCTGAATATACAAACAAGAAATAATGGTGGAAATTATACTTTTCAACGAAATTAAAACGTCAGTGCCAGTAGTGAATGTTTAACGAGTGAGTCATTGAGTCGTTCATTCAAACGATTCGTTCAAACGGCAGATTCATCAGATGTTTATGCATGGGCTTATGAAACTTTGACTCAACCGATTAGTTCAAAACACGGAATCAATCAGCAATGAATCGACTGGTTGCTGTGAGATGCCCTGTGTTCCGCTTAAAATGTAAGTGACCTAAAATTATTGTATTTGCTTAGTGAACTGTTTATATAACTATTAAACATTCGTAATGGTGAAAATGTTGTGTGATGTTGCCTAACTAACTGTATTTTAAATATAAAAACTTTCCATTTTGAATTTTTACCTCAGGATGCTGAGTTTCTTAGTGTTGCGCGTTTTGATTTCTCCTGGAGAGGCTGCGGGAGCCTCGCTTCAGCCTCGCTTCAACTTTATTCCGTCAATAGATGCATTATATACAGTAGCTATATCCACTATTCGCCACTTACTCTAAATGTAATAAAATCAGAATAATACTGGCGTTTTGGTGTTTACATAGTTATTTTCGGTTACTGATGTTTTAATCATGTCACTTGTCTGGCGTTAATGAAGCGTTAATGTCGAGCCCTATTAAAAAATTTTATTTAAATAGAAATGCACTCAGTAATTTTAACTAGTTAGCTAATTAACTTGTTTTATTCCTAATTTATTATATCCTTATTACATATTAATTTATTAAAATATTCAGATAAATATATATGAAAAATAAATATATGAATAAATAAATTATAATTAATTTTTTTCTATGTCAATGTTTCATCATTATTTTTATTTTTTCGTTTCATTATTTTTATTTTTTTTTTTTTTTTGGGCCAAGTTGCTGCAAATTGAGCAGTATAATATACAAACCGGTCATACCTGATCCTCATCACCTTGACAGGGTTTATTTTGAAGTAACGACTGACTGTACGTTAATTCATATGTAGGTGTTTTATTGACTAATAACATGAGTGATTGAGAAGCTGCTATATTTTATGTAATCATTATGATTTTACAATCATTTACCTCAGGCCTGATGGTGAACTCCACGTTATCAAGCAAGCTTCTGTCTGTCAGGCTGGCCGACACCACCCTTCTCTTGGTATCGAGTTCACTATTAAATTGTTTTGAGTTGAAAAACTGATCATTTTCATAAAGCACCACTCCAATACCGAGATTTATGTTCCCTGTGGGGAAATAGAGGGAAAAGGTATTCAAAACTTTGAGTTTTAATTATGAATCCCTCAAAATAAGAACAGAAACATAAACGGTACCCCAGTCTTTCTGGGAATGGTTCTGCAGTTTGATATTTAACACGAGATCAACGGGACGTCCTGAAGAGGATGCCATGTTAGCAGCGTCTGCACCCAGACCAATTCTTTCAGGAGAATACTCTGACAGTCCTAGTTAAATGCAGCTTAGTTTAGTTTAAGAAGTAGAGATGTCTTTCTGATATCAACACAGATGTATAATAATTACACTTTATATGAGGTTTCGGCACTGACCTGTTGCAGAGTAGAATTGCACTTGTGGGGTCCAATTTGGCCACTTGATGCTTTGCACCGCTAGGTTTGGTTGCACCAGTACACTAGAGTTAATGTTATTCATGTTCAAAGCAAAATCCTCCAAAGTCTTTGTGAGACTATAGAAATTATACACATGCAAAAGTTAAACACATATCCATCCAAACAATAACAACAATAATAATAATAATAGTTGCCTAATAATAATAATAATAATACAATTCTTAGTCATTTTCTATAGTATTTTTTAATGTTTTAAACATCAAGAAATTAAGTTTACCACGGTATCTATTTTTCCGAAGTTTTGTTGAGTAATTAATATATCTAAATGTATATGTTGTAAAGGGACAAATAAATATATAATGCACTTAGTATTTTTTTCTAACTTTTAGTGTAGTAATATTTAATATTCTTTTTTTTTTTAATTCTTAAAGTTTATATATATATATATATATATAAATTTACACAAAATGTTACACAAAATAAAATAATTTTAGCATGGTAACTATTGTTTCTGAAGCTTATTTGTAATTTTGAAGTAATTTTAAAATGTTTACACAAAATAAAAAAAATACCAAGGTAACTATTGTTTAGATTTTGTTCCATTTTGTATCCAAATTTTTGTTGAATAATTTCATTTAAAATTAAATAATACAAATAATAATTAAGTTAAATAATTATAAATATATATATATATACACACACACACATATATGTACAGTATACACACTGTTGTGTTTTACAGTGTACAGTGTTGTGTTTGTGTGGGACAGGTATGTGTGGAGTGTAAATACTTCTCAAGGGCATCGTAAGTGTCTTCAGAGTATTGGTCTTTATCAGTGCGCATGAGCTGACTGATGGTGGCCACCACTGACTCTGCAACTGACTGTATAAAAGATATATCATTATTATTATTACACTATTATTACATTTCTACATAATGATTTGAATCTAGTCACACTGTCAGACAAACAAATTAACATATTGTATTGTTTGTACATTCTTACCTCATTTAACATGCTGGCGGACAGCAGGTTATTGACAGCCGTAGCAGCTGAGGTGATGTTCTGGGATGTCAGCTGCTCAGGTTTGGACGTGAGTATCTGGACACTGGAGGCAACGTACATATTCTCTTCCAGAGTCCCCTAAACAAAACAACCAAAACCATTGTGCCAATATTTGTTTAATCAAAAGCACTCAAAATTAAAGAGTTCAAACCATTGACTAAATAATGACTACAGTAAACCTGAGTTTACTGTAAAATATTATTTTAAAGTTATTAATTTTAAAATATTAAAATTAATTTAATATTTTTTTTTACATTTGACGACTACTACAAATATATCAACCAGTTTTTTTGTTTTTTGGCGTAAGAAATGTGTTTGCCGACAGTAATCAAACTCTTAATTACACTATTAAACTGCCACAAACTTAAAATATTAATATATAAATAATTAAATTTTATACAAGAAATGTATAGAATGGGCTGCAATTTTAACATTAAAAATGGATAATATAATATAATACAATAATTAACAGTGCTAAATGTGAAAAATAAAATGGAATTAAAACTCATTCAAAACATTAATAAACACTAATGATACTAAAATAACACTCGCATAAACGTTTGTCATTCAAAATGAATGTGAATTTGTTAAAATCGTCAACCAGTGTCCCCTATTAAATTTCAAAGATGTAAATACAGACGTTGACTTTGCTTTCGAACACCTCCAGGTTCAAGCCACAGTCCAGAAGTTTAACTCCTCCAAATGCGTGGAAAAGTGGTAAATTCAAACACTGAGCTGAGGCCTTAGGAAAACCAGCTACAGAAGACATACAAGAACAGTTAAACATGCTTGCTTCAAGAACACAAACCAAAAAATAACAAACCCAAACTAAAATAGCTGCAGTTTAGCATATTTTGTTATGTATGTCTGACTTAAACAACTTCTGACACAAATTAAGTTAAATTACTATAATTTTTTTTTAATTTTAAGTTTGTCAAGATAAAGGATCTGAGATCTGATGGCCTTATCATTATTTTATTTTATTTTAATTTTTTCCACTAATGCTTATATATAATGTTTTTGTATTTATGACTGTTTACTTTGTAATACTACATACCGCTGGCTGTTCCTGGAGGGCAAAGCTGTGTTGAATAACTAATCTGACCGGTCACAGTGAGTGGGAAGGTCAAACCATTGAGTGTTTCCTCTGGACAGGTATTACCTGCAACGAAACTAATAAGTCATCCTCGACCAAAACTTGAAATGGTCTTACTTATATTACAGGCAAGAATTTAAGACAACTCTTCTGAAATGCATACCTGTAGGTTGAGTAGTGGTCAAAAGCGGGTTAGGGATGGTAGTTGATGTTGTTGAAGTGGTAGTTATGGGTGACCTGGTGGTCGTAGCACTTAATGTGGTGGTAGTAGTGATAACAGGGGTGGTAGTAGGGGTGGTAGTAGTGATAACAGGTGTGGTAGTAGGGGTGGTAGTAGTGATAACAGGGGTGGTAGTAGGATTGGTAGTAGTGGTAATAGGAGTGGTAGTTGTTGCTCTTGTTTCTGGTTTGGTGGTCATAGGAGCAGATGATGTGGTCTTTAGAAAGGTGGTGTCAGTCTTAGTAAACAGCACAGTAGTAGCAGATATAGTGTTTCCAAGAATCAGTCCATTCTCATTTACAAATGCTGTTCAAACAGAAGAAAACAATTCAGTTTAGATCAGCACTATAATTTTGGTACAATATGATTTCATATATTGTTTTTAAACACTTTAAATAATGAGAGTGTTGTCCTATTGAGAGCTACACTCTTAAAAGTAAAAGTTCTTTATTGGCATTCACGGTTCCATGAAGAACTTTTAAGATCCATGAAACCTTTCCATTGCACAAAAGGTTCCTTAAACTGAAAAAAGTGTATTTACACTTCCAAAAGTGGGTTTTCGCAGTGATGCCACAGAACAGTGGTTCTCAATTCCAGTCCTCGTGTACCACCGCTTTGCACATTTTGTATGTTTCTCTTATCACTTCAGACGTTTGTTCTATTCGACCGTTAGTGCCCTACGAAGTGAACATCACAGGATATTCCGCCATGATTCCAGTTCGAAGGGAGCGTATATGTCCCATTCAAAGGGCATTAAAGTGTGTGAGATGTGAATTTAAATTGTATTTGTTTACAGAGGTATATTATGTCACACTTCTCTAGTAAGTTTCATCTGTGTGTGAAGACGCTGCAGGAAGTGGTGTAGTGCAAATCCGTGAATGAATGTTCATGTCAGTCGGAACACAGTTCATTCATGGAGCTCTCTTCTAACGAGCTGGTTATCTGAATCAGGTGTTAAATAAGAGAGACATGCAAAATATGCAGAGCGGTGGTACGCGAGGACTGGAATTGAGAACCACTGCCATAGAAGAACCATTTTGGGTTCCGCAACCCTTCAGAGAACATTTTTGAACCCTTTTTTGTTCCCAAAAGAACCTTTCAGTGAGCAGTTCTTAAAAGAACCTTTTTTTTTTCGTACAGTGAGGAACATTTTAATAATCTAACGTATCTTTTTCACTTTAAAGAACATTTTGTGCAATGGAAAGATTCCATGGAACCAAAGCTGCCAATAAAGAACTAATATTTCTAAGAGTGTGGATTATAAAAATATTAAAAATGCACACTATAATATATAATTGGTTCTTTTAAGAGTTTTCACTGGGAGGTTCTTTGGGGAACCAAAATGGTTCTTCTACAGAGTGTAGTGAGTTTATTTGCAGTTTATTTATGCACCCAAAACAGGGCCAAGACCGTATTTTATGGGTGGGCTGCCTATTCCCTGGCCCAATAAGTATGGTATACCATAAAGACAGACCACCCGATGACAACTCTGCACTTAGACATCATTTGCAAGTGAAACTCCAGCACATAATTCTTTAAATCCCTGTGACACATGCAAATCAGCCTAAACTGGGGAATCTGGCAGCCAAAAAAATTATGTTTATGATTATGTTTATATCTAAAGCTTAGTCACATATATATATATGAATATAAATTGAAATCATAATAATAATAAATAAGTATTTCAGTCAAAACAACAGGGTTCACTAACATGTTTCTTTGGTTAAATCTAATTTTTAAAACACAATATAACTTTTTTTTAAATTGTATCAAAATCTATTATAACAATCATCATATCACTATTGACATAAACCACACACACACAATATATATATATATATAAAACCTGCCCTACATCTAAAATAAACATTTTTTAAAAAATCTATTTTTCTGAAAGTTAATCTGTTAATGTTACAATAATCCCTTACCTGAAAGAAATATGAGCAGCAGCATGGAGCGATCCATCATCATCCCATTAATGATCCAGATCTGGTTCTCGAAAATGTCTGCTTATGACTTATGTAGGAGGATCTCATATGTTGAGTTTGACATAATATATTTGCATTTTAAGAAAAAAAAGAGCTATGGACACTGTAATGTGCAATGTTTTGCAAAAACCAAAAATGACAAGAAACATGTTGGGTCGGGCAGGTCGTATCATTTTTCTACTTGGCAGACATATCTAGGCTTTAGTAACTAGTCTGAAAAAAAAGTGTATTCGTAATTATGAAAATATAGGCTATTTTAAATTGATAGTCCATCTCAAAATTTAAATTACTCAAACTCATGCCATTCCATATATAATTGACTTTCTTTATTTAGAAGAAAAACACCCTCATCCTAAGGAAGTCAGTCTGTACATCTGGGGATGGCATGAGAGTAAATGATTTTCATTTTTGGGTGTTCTATCCCTTTAATAATAATAAAAATGATAAAGAAAATACTGCTGTTTCCTTTGTATTTTAAGCTTCTCAACCTGTCAAATGTAGGTAATGATATCATGTGAATAATTTGACATTTGTATACACAACCTAATATCTCTTTACATAAGAACAAATCTTTGTTGAATATTCTGGAGAGATTCAAAGCAGGCGCGCACGCGATTAATATCACAATACGACTATGCGTGCGTGCACTCTACTAATGTGCCATTGCAAAACAAACTGATTTCACGTCCAAGTAAACACTGCATTGTGTAAAAGATTGCCGTGTGTCACACGTTTAAAGATAAATTACTCAACTTCATTTTGTTATTCAAAGTGAGCCTTGTATTAGATGCAAATTGCTGTCATTTCAGATACGCCATTGAACAACAGGCAAATCAACAGCACATCTCAACACTGATAACGCAAACTAATGGCCAAAAGCACGAACCCCCAAAAGCAGAAAACCATTATGATAAAGAAACGCTCCTGCCTTTATAGTATATAAATATATTAGACAATATGCAGCCGTGCACATGCTGAACATTCAGACAGCGAGACGAGAATTTATGCCGGGAGGTCAGTGTTTTTCCTCAGCATCCTGTCTGAACTACTTAAGTTTACTAACGAAGAGACAATTTCTCTCTCTTTTTTTTATTAATTGTTGTAGCTTGTGGATAGAGCTGTGAACACTGATATACACTGAACCCAGCTGCCAACATCAAATGGTGATGATGGTTTAACATTGCAAACGTACTGTGAGGTTATTCCTGACAGTGTATTTGGAATGAAGACAGAAACGTGTTGCACAAGAACTTCCGAAAGGAATAAAGCTGAACGAGGTGCAAAGTTAAAAGCGTTAATCTGTGTAAGCTATTAAAGCTTTGGAACCCGTGCATCCATGGAGGAGGATGCACTTACCTATAGAAACCTCCACATCAACTCTGCTGCCTTATTGGCCACGTACTGACCAGACCTTAAAGAAATAGTCTGGCATGCACAGCAAAAGCCTCATGCATCAATTTAAACCTACTGTATGCAGTACAGTTCTAGTATATATTTTCTTGGAACGAGTACACTATGTTCACCACAAATTAATATTTGCTTCTTTTTTTTTAAATAACTGACAACATCTACAAATCATGGTTTCTTATAAAGAGTTACATCAAGCAAACACATACAGTAAAACCTGAGGTCAACTCTTAAGGGACTGTTCACGCAAAAATGAAAATGTTGTCATCATTTACTCACTCTCATGTTGTTCCAAACCTTTATGAATTTCGGTCTTCTTTTAAACACAAAAGATGATGTTCTGAAGAATGTTGGTAACCAAACAGCTGCTGATAACAACAGCCATTGACTTCCATAGTATTTATTATTATTATTATTATTTCCATACTATAGAAGTCACTGGCTACCATCAGCTGTTTGGTTACCAACAATCTTCAAAATATCTTCTTTAGTTTTCAACCGAAGAAACTCATACATGTTTGGAAAAACCTGAGGGTGAGTAAATGATGACAAGATTTTCATTTTTAGGCGAACTGTCGCTTTAAACAACTCGCCAACCTTAGTTAATTATCTGCTGAGCATTTCTATAAAAAAATACCTTTGGGTTGTTTCATTCAAAGAAAAAGGAAAGGGCATTACTGCAAGCTTAAAAAAACTGTAATATTCATACTTATGAACTTGTGTTTTTCATCTTTATATAAAGCCAAACCAGAGAACTAATCCAGAGCAAATACAAAGTTACCATCTATAAAGAACTGTGGAATTTCAACTGCCATCTAGCAGCTCGACAACGTTACAACATATTCATTTATTTTATTACTATTACTTAAAAAAATATTTTTGTTGTTTAGATTTGTTACATATTATTACAACCTCAAACAAATGTTGATCTATTCAAAAACTGGCAAAAAAAAAAAATAACTCGTTAACATTTTCTGATAATTTTATTAATAGCTGATTAGTGGAAAAGAACAGAATATCTGACATACATTAGTACATGGACTTTTGCTGTGGTTCGTCACACACCGACCTGGTTCCTCATCATTGAGGTTACATTTTCCAGATATGCCTAGATCCCGATGAATCCCATAATGACTTGATGTATCTGTTAAACAGCATGTGGAATTGTGCTGGAAACAGAGAGAGATTACAAAGCCAGCAGTTCAAACCTAAGCAGAAATGGACTTCAGTGACGTCTTGATCTGGGCTGAGAGCCAGTGGATGAGAAGCTTGACACTGAACATCCTGGTTTTACGCATCTGATCTCCTCTTAGGCTCAAAGTACTTAGTCGGGTAATCATAAAAACGTATGTGATCGAAGAGCCCTCAGGAAGAGAAAATAAAGACACATGTAAGCAGCTGACAAACTATTATTCTCCAGCAGTCTCTTATTTCTTCTTCTTATCTTGTGTGCTGGTGAACCAGGCATCCAGCAGCTTTTTGCTGTAGTAGATCTGCCAGCCATGTACTTGAAGAGAAATAATCAAAGCTAAGTACATTATAGAGACAGCAGAGAAGCCAAAGATGAACCTATAAGTTTTGCCGTGCCGATAAAGCTGCTGAGCCACAGGGAACATCTCCATCCCTCCATAAAGAATAGGAGCGACACAAAAAAGCCCGGCGCTGATCATTGAGATGACCAGGTAACTGATGTTGTTTTTTGGCAAAGCCATGAAACTGAAGACGGTAGGTATGATGCTCAGAAGATACAAGTATTCCCATTGGTAAGGAGCGGCCACCACTTTATGGGATACCAAGTTCAGCTGACTGACCACCACCTGTGCTGCTACAAGCAACCAGACCACTGCATGAGCGATGTTCAGCATCTTGATCTCAGACTTCAGGGCCACACTGAGGAGATTGAGAACGGTCATTTCAACAGGATCAGAGGAACTGCAATTTTTAAGTAGTTTTAAGGGGTCATTCCCCTATATATACCCACGTCATGTCTTAATATATTGGCTAACAGGTTAATAATCATACTAGCTTATTTTCATTTTTCACACTATCACAGTGAACATAATGGTGAATTTTAAAACATTTCACTGTTTGGACTTAACCTTACACGAAAGCGATGTTACTCACGGGACACTGTAAATACAAGACTAAAATACTGCTACGAATTATATTTTTACATTAACTCTTTCCCCATCAAACACGGAATTTTCCGGTTTTCCGCGTTCTCGCTGTTATGCGCTCGGGGGCGCTATTACGCATGTCCTGAATGAGTCTAGAATGTGCCGATCAAAAACACATGCGAGGAAGACGCAGAAACGAGCAATCTCGTATGTATGCATACGCATACGAAAAACAATGCGATCATCGACAATAAACAGCATATAAATGAAAACTGCCAAATGTTACCGAGTGAAATGGCGATCCCGGAAGTGGCAAAGGACTGTGCAAGCTATGGGGATGTTGATGAAGCAATCTACTGCATCTTTGCTTTGATCATCCTACTGAATATGATCCAGATGTAGTATTTGATAAAAACGCGATTTTCTCTGCTTTTTGCTCAATATGTTGTTGTTGTTTTTTTTTAAATAAAACGTACCTACATTCAAGTGTTGATAAAAAAGAATGTTTGAAGCTAGAATAAAACGGATGTTTTTTTAAAGTAGACGGATATATGTTCTTTATTTTGATGTATCGCATGTTCAGATATTCATAAAACAAAATATTCTGGGGGCCATAAAATTTTATTAAAAATCATCAAAAATGCTGGCGGTGGCTGGCAACTTTTTTTTTTTTAAAACGTTGGCGGGGAAAGAGTTAAAAACAATTCGACACATACAGTATGTACCTCATCTGATAGTGTGACGCCACGCGCTCGCGGTGCTGAAAGTCGCTGCCGTCTGTTCCTGTAGCGCGCGGTCCTGATCGTGATGCCATGGCAACCCACCTCCGTCGACAACCTGAGGTAAAGGTAAAATCGAAATTTACCTCACTTCTTCGCTGTAGAAGTTTACATGAGGCAAACAGCCCTGATAGCACACGTACATCACAGAGATGTCTATTTGACGTCTGCATTTACATCTGCAAGACGTGTTTGCTAATATAAATACTTACGTAAATTAAAAAATAACCATTTCACCACATATTATATTGCAAACTATTTCTACCGTGATACTGTACAATATTTGTTGCTTTTGACCAAAAAGTTGCACAAATATAAAGTAGTCAACATTTGAAGTGGATCAAAACCTTTCATCAAAATTGTCCTAGAATCACAAGCGGTCTTAGGACAATTTTGATGAACTTTTTTGATCCACTTCAAATGTTGACTACTGTATTACATCTGAATATCGTATAACGACACAATGCGTGCAAGTAATGTAACGTTAGACCAAATACGCTTCCGTAAATACTCTCCATTTTGTCTTATATGTTGACTTCAACCAAACTATACCAAGCAAAACTGTAAAGCCTCCATTTCCGCAAGCGAAGCAGCCTATACTGTTTATTCTACTTCAGTTAAGTGCAAAAGCTTTTTAAAATGTTAAACTTCTCTGTTTTTGTCTGTTCACGACCTTGTACTGAACTGTAAAACAGCTGGTTGATACTATATTCACCCACCGGTAGCATGATTTGATTATTAGAGTTTACAAATAATTACATTTGTTTGACGCTGCATTTTTTATTCTAATACAATGAAATTTCTGATCACAATTATTAAGTCACTCAATCCAACTTCTACGGCTTTTGCTGACGCTTCCTACAGGTACAGTAACAACATGATTTCTACGAGACACCACAGAAGTTCATTCACAGTCATAATCGGTGTTACAAATAAGAAGACGCGCACTTAGAACACTCAAACTTTATACCTACCTTATTTTAACATGAACCAGCAAGCCGCTTCACGTACTGTAGAAGCAAAAGTAGCTGTTCTTCTACATGTGCGTCCGTCTGGACATAATGCAATATCGCCCTCACTGGCGCGGAGTGGGAACAATTAATGATTAGGAAAAGAGTTCCTAAAGATTTGCATTGAGAGGATTGATACAACGGATACACATACTCAGGGCCAGTACTAGACATTTGGAGGTCTAGGCAAAATTCATGTTGGAGGCTGCTCCCACCCCAATAAAAAGCACTTGAAACAAATATGATTCCTAACCTTTCTATTTATACAACATTTTATTTTAAATTTAGTATATTTTTACTTATACAGTACCGGTCAAAATTTTGGACACATTACTATTGTTAATGTTTTTGAAAGAAGTCTCTTATGCTCATCAAGCCTGCATTTATTTGATCAATTACTGATCATTACTATTTAAAATAATGGTTTTCTATTTAAGTATACTCATACTTAAAATATAATCTATTTCTGTGATGCAAAGCTCATTTTCCAGCATCATTACCATTCTTCAGTGTCACATGATCCTTCAGAAATCATTCTATATGCTGATTTATTATCAATGTTAGAAACAGTTGTGCTGCTTAATATTTATTTTATAACATATGGTACTTTTTTCAGGATTTTTGATTAAAAAGTGGTTTAAAATTTGAAAACAAATAGAAATCTTTTATAACAATACACGTCTTTAATATCACTTTTTTATCAGTTTAACACACCCTTGCTGAATATTACTGTTTTTGTTCTGTAATTTTAATCAAATAAATGCAGGCTTTATGAGCATAAGCGACTTCTTTCAAAAACATTAAAACTAGTAATGTGTCCAAACTTTTGACCGGTACTGTATGTACATATTAATCAAACTTTATCTAAGGTAATCTCTTTTTTGTTTGTTTAGGATGTTATTATAGCCGTGATATTATTATTATTATTATTATTATTATTTTGCAGTAATTTTTTCACAGTTCCTGAATACCACTTCAGTAAATGAGCATCAGTACATTGCATACCTGAATACATTGCAATCACTCCAAAATAGATGAGGACAACTCACACACCTGCATTAGGAGCTGTACTTCTTTGCGTGCATATTTAGCCTTAATTGTTTCGCAGCACCTGAAGGATATGTTTGTTACTGAAAACATTCAAGGTGGGACCCGCTTTGAAACGGCAACATTAATCAGTTTAATTGCAGGTGAGTGACAATTCAACTATATCCAGTGAACAGTGAGGTTAGTATTTTGCTGCCTGTCTTGACTGGTGGACTATAGGGGATGTTACAGTTATGGAGGGCTTCAGCTCAGTGTCTGACTAAGTGTATAATATCCAAAATTCCGTAGGTCAACATAAAGACTGAAAGCAGGGATTCTTTATTTTTTGTGGAACTCCCTAATTACAAATCCACACGATTTCAGTCAATTCGATTTATTAAAAAACAATAACAATGACATTAAATCTTTACTCCATATATGTTTAACAGTTTAGCACCATTGTCAAAAATAACAAACAATAAATTCCTTCTTTTTTGTGCCCCACCATCTTTTTGCACATATACAAATGTAGTCATTCAGTAGTAAAACTAAAAATAAATTACAGAGAGGTTCCTAAGATTATTTGAATTTAACTTAGAGTGTCCATGTGGCAACTTCTATATAGCCTACTGATATTGTATTTTGAGTTTGTTTTGATAAACAATGATCTGATCTAGGCTACTCAAATCAGTTGGGTATGAAAGAACCTAAATGTAAGGTTCAGGACATTTCCGATATGTATTTTACTGACATTTTTAATTAATGAGATCACTAAAAAAGTAACATCTAAACATAACACTTATGTGCTCACATACTTTCTTTAAGTTTATTGAGATGGCACAATGAGAGACTAAGACAGCAGAAAAATAGTGCATATCCAACAATCTGAAAATTCTTCATTATGACATATGTCAACATCACATCATTTTACATTGATATGTAGTCAATGTGACCCCATCTATATACAATCAATATACTATCAAACAATACGAAATATGCAAATAAATAATGTGATAAGAGTTCTAACAAAGTGCTAACCATATGGATGAATGGATAATGTAAGATTCTGAAAGACTGTTTCAAATTATGTAAGTATGTGTATGTGTAAAACATACATTTAACATTATTTCATTATATATTCCTTTGCCACTGTACCACACTATGCTATAAAACGTACCTCACTCTGTGACTTAATTGTCAATTACCTTTTCTATTCAAACATAACAAGTGGCTCTGTACTGATGGCACATACAGTTTACTTGATGTAGCATTGATTTTATATGAGTGACTTTTTTTTCACAAATTCACATGGGATATAACAAATATCCAGAGAATGATGAGTGGACATATGGACCAGCATAAAGTCCTGCAGCTTGGTCTGATGGTAACTGGATATGAACAGTGTCTCCAACTTGTAAGGGCAGCACTGCACTCCCTGATGCCTGATCCAGGTAACTTTTTTTGAATTCATCATATGTATACATAACTGGCTCATTGTTCCTGTACAATGCCACCCATACATTGTTTCCTTTGCAATTAACATGGTAAACAAAGTAGTAAATTCCAGGTATTTTGCAAGTGAAGACGCCAGTTTGAGAGTTGTAATTCTGGTTACCATTATATAAAATCTTGTTGAAGACAACAGGTTGCCCAACTGGAGGAAATGGTGTTGTCAGCTGAGCTGTAAAAGCAGGCATCTCTACGCCATTCCTACCAATATTGGCTCCTCCAGGCTTTTTTTTCTTGTAACCACCTTTTGCCCCATCTAGCCCAGGACCTGTCTCAGGAAGGATTTGCCCGATAAATGGAGATTGAGCAGGAGGTCCTGGTAGGCCAGGTGGGCCAGGAGGACCAGGTATTCCAGGTTGACCTGGGCGCCCACCAGCTCCAGGAATACCAGGTGGGCCTATTGGGCCTGGAAGCCCAGGTTTTCCCTCGCCTGGCATTCCAGGTTTTCCTGGTGGTCCATATTCCCCTTTTGGGCCTGGTAGACCAGGTGGGCCTATTGGTCCTGCTTGACCCATTAATCCTGGGATTCCCATAGGACCTGGATGACCTTTCTCTCCTGGGAATCCAACTTGTCCTTTTGCGCCAGGCTTTCCAGGGGCTCCAGGTAGGCCGGGTAAGCCTTTATGTCCATTTTCACCTTTAGGTCCTATAGGACCTGGTAAGCCTCTAGGTCCTGGTTGCCCCAATTCTCCTGGGAATCCTGGCTTGCCTGGAAGTCCTAGAGGCCCTGGTTCACCTTTTGGACCAAGTTGTCCCTTAGGTCCTACTGCACCACCCTCTCCTTTTGGACCAAGGAAACCAATGCCTCCAGGTGGTCCCAAGAGACCTGGAGGGCCTGGAAGGCCACTTGGCCCTGGTGGTCCAATCATTCCAGGAAGACCACCATGACCCTTTTCACCTTTTGGGCCTTGGGGACCAGGTAAACCGCCATGCCCTTTTTCACCTTTAGGGCCAGGATATCCAGGTTTGCCAAAACCAGGCAAGCCTGGGTTGCCAGGTAAACCAGAGGGACCTGGCTCGCCCCTTCCACCTGGAAGACCTGGTTTCCCTGGCAAGCCATCCAAACCAGGTTTGCCAAAGCCTGGTAGTCCTGGTGGTCCTGGTGGTCCTCTCCCCCCTGGGACTCCTGCCAATCCTGGTTCTCCAGGTGCACCAGGTTTACCTTGGCCTCCAGGAGCCCCAGGTAGTCCATTCAATCCTGGTTTGCCAACTCCTGGTAGTCCTACTTGTCCTGGTGGTCCTGGAGGTCCAGGATGTCCCTTTACTCCTGGCAGTCCTGGGAGGCCAATCCCATGCTCACCTTTTGGCCCTGGGAGACCATGGATCCCAGGGAAGCCCTTTTGTCCAGGTTCTCCATGAGGTCCAGGTTGTCCTGGAAGTCCTTGTGCACCTGGTTTTGACACACCTGGTAAGCCATGTGGCCCGGGAAGACCTGGAGGTCCTGGCATTCCTATTGGCCCTTCACCGCCAATTGGTCCCAAGTCACCCTTTGGTCCTGGTAAACCTATACCTCCAGGTTTTCCTGGTAAACCTGGCATTCCTAGCTTTCCAATTCCTGGGAGTCCTGGTGGACCTTGAGGACCAGGTTTACCTGTAGGTCCTGGGATACCATGACCAGGAAGTCCTGGAGGGCCCTGAGGCCCTGTAAGTCCCTTTGGACCAGGCTCACCAGGAGGACCTTTATCTCCTCTTGGAATGGTTTCACCTGAAAAAAAAAAACAGTCATGGTCACAGTAACGGTCAACACTTGTTCATAAACACACACATTATTTGCATGTCTGAAAGTTTAAATGAATGTACAAAAAGTTAATGAATGTATTCTTGGACCAAAAATATATTCAATATGAATCAATTGTATGAATTTAACCTAGCGTGAATACAACAGAGCTAAAATGAGAATAAACAAAAAATAACTACAAATAAATTACACACACACACACACACACACACAAAAACACCCTCCCAAACCTAATTAAAATCTGATGGAAGGTGTTTTCAAGAGGTTAACCTATCAGAAAGATTAAAAATGCTTTCTGTCAGCTAGCTTTTGTCAACATTGCAGTTTTAAGCCCAAAGTATACTTTGGCCATCCGCATACCGCGATGGTCTGCGCACTGTCTGCGTGACACAGTTTTCGTCACCAGAAGTATCTGCAGATGTCCGCACACACTGTCAGTGTGCAGCCCAATTTTTGTGACCGTGCAGACGGGCCGTGTACAGCAGCACAGGCGCAAACTGAATGTTGAGATAGAATAAGTCTAGGTGGTACTGTGCATGTGTTAAACTCGTCCATCCATGCTCATCTGTGGTTGAGTATACTTTGAAAGCTGTGCGGACACAGCTGTGTGCAAGATGGAATGCGGAAACTGAAGTATACCTGGTCCTTTACAGTTCAGTTTAAATGATCCTGTGGAGTGATTTTTTTTTTAAATACCAAGATTCCATGTAGCCTCTAAATGAATATGATGTTATAAAAGCTGCAAGCAAAGTAATTATAAAGGAATTTGCTAAATTACCAACCTTTTCCTACAATAGGTTTACCCATGTGCATGGGTATCTGTGGACGTTCTTTTGCATACTGTGGAAGCAAAGGCATCTCATTTCCATATGGTAAGTGTGGTGTTTCCTTTCCATGGTAATGGTGTTGGGGTATTTGTTGTGGTATCCCCTCATTGCCATGTGACAGAAGAGGTAACTGTGGCAGAAGCTGGTGCTGTTGGGGCAGTGACTTGTGACCATAAAATGCCCCTGCATGGATATGATGTAGCAGACAGAAGTGCTCCACCAGTACAAACAAGCGGGCAGAGAGGAGAGGCCCAGCCATGTCCTGTGGAATGGAGCATAAGAGAGAAGGTTAGTTGTCTTGAAAAAAGACAGGAAAGCTAGCAGTAAGTGCTGACACCAAAGTGTAGTGAAAGCACTTCTATGCCTTGAACATTGTTTTAGAGAAGTCAGGTTAAAGAGTTGAGACCCATAAGGTCATTGTCCATTCCATAACTGACCAATCAACTATTGTTTCACATTGCTGAATAATTTTATTAATTCTACAGTGCTTAAAATGTCAATACAGCATCATCAATGCTTAATTCGGGAAAATTTCTGTTACTGCATGGCTATATAATAGTGTTAATAAAATTCTTAATAAACCTTATCAGAAAATCATTGTTTGCAACAAAAACAACCATGAATTATGAATGTTACACCATTTTCTAATGCCAGTACTCTTCAAATATGCGATGCCACACACAACAAGGAACAGAGGAAGGTTTGGTGAACTTGTTTATACATTTGTTTAGTACTAATAGCATCTATACTACTTCTAGCCGTTAACAACAAGCTGTGTTTGCAGTTGTTTCAATAAATGGTCTATTTGAACTGGGAAGGACACCTTAACATCTAAAAGATGTATGTTTTTATAGTAAATAAAGTTTTATAAGAATTGTTTGTTTCTGAAAACAAGGACATTTTTATTATTCATGACATGACTCCCTTTACAATGCTCTTCCAACTCAATCTTTCAATGAATCGGCTTTTTATATAATATGCCCATACAAAGTCTGTATTGTCCCTTCAATTTGCAGCAGAACAAGGGAAAGTCTCAATATTTTTGAAATACAGCATTGAATAAATAAATTGCAAATAAATACATTAAAATCAGCCTCACATGAGCCACATTAGAACCTTCTAACAGTATATGGACTGCATTATTTTATCTTAGAACAGCAACATATACAGTAAGTACATTCATATATGACTTGAAACATCAATTTTCAGCTCTAGATAGCATCTTAAAATAATGACCAGCTGACTGACAATATCCCTTATATATTCTATGCAAAAAGTTCAGCACAAAATATTTTTTTAAAAAAGAGCACATTTAAGTTAATAATTTTAAGTTTCTTAAATTATTTCTGCATTAAAAAGAGTTTTGTTTGCACTAGCATAGCAAAACATTTGTTATACTTAAACATGACCATTAGATGTCAGAAACTACTCACATATGAATACTGGAAGTTTGTGTGTGTGGATCAAGGGGTCTTAACTACACAGGCACCATCTGACTGCAAATAATCCTGAGCAACCGCCTTTGAAATCAGTGGGAATGCTAACAGTTTGCTTTCTCCAAATCAGAAGAGAGGGCAAACTGTTAGCATTGTTTCTTATCCCATTATTCATTGTTTTGTATTCAGTGTCTTGTGCATCAGACATAAACCTTAAAAATTGTCAGCCGATAATACCAATGAGTCATAAAAATGTAGACTGCCACCACGTGATGCCATCTTTACAAAACTTTACACTGCAAGTAACACAAATGCAAAAAAGTCCACACATTATCATGCTGTCTAATTATCAGAACACTATGGCACAAACAAATCTATTTCTTACTTTTTTGCTTATTCTTTCTGTTGTCTTGAGAGCCACATCCTCTCAGGTCTGTCCTGAAACTGTGTTGAATGGGAAACCCAGCCACTCAGTTACAAAGCGTTGGTGTTTTCGCACCCAACCGATAGCTGCGCTAAAATCCAAAACGTGAGCCTAAACCAAAGCCGAACCCAGAATGGAGGGGGCATCTTGCTTTGATTGAGTGTGGAAAAATCTTAAAAGCTGGAATGCTTTTTAGGGAGCCGGGTTTTGATTCTAATACATACCAGAGGTGTGACCAAGTCGTTGTTTTGCAAGTCACAAGTAAGTCTCGAGTCTTTGCATTCAAGTCTCGAGTCAAGTCCCGAGTCAAGACAGACAAGTCCCAAGTCAAGTCCCGAGTCAAGACAGGCAAGTCCAAGTCGAGTTGCAAGTCCTCA